GTTTTGTAAGCTCTATATTTACGTTTTTATATCAATAAAAAAATTATATCAATAAAAAAATTAAAAACTCTATAAAAATTATATAAACATTTATATTTTAAATGCTCTTATATAAACTTTGAATAAATCATTACAGTACTACACTTATGATTTAATAATCAGGCTCCCTATTGCATTGTAAGAAAAGTTATTGCATGTAAAATTGTTTTCCAACGTACGACAAAAACGGATTGATGTTCCGAACATGACATGGTAAATAAAAATGGAATTTAATAGATTAAACTCAAAGGTGGTACACAATTAGCTGGAAAAAATTTATGTCTATATAAAATATTTATACACATACATGCAATTTGGACCAAAACTTATTTACATATATGCAATTAAAATTCTCAAAATTAATATGAAATTATGAAATTTTAAACAAAGACAATTACTTTTAGATTACAATTAAATTAATTAGCATCATAGGCCTTTAGTATCAATAAATTATATTATAAAAAAAATTCTAATGGAATTTGCAAGAGAGACCTGATTTTGTACTAAATTTCCCAAGAAAATTCAATGCATATATTAGTTAATAATAATTAGAATAAAAAAAATAAAAAATCACTTATAGCCGTGGTTACAATGAAACTCACATTTTTTCATTCAACAAGTCCATTGACTTAGAGCTTGTGCCAACAGTAAAAGAATTTTAAATATATTAAATATAAATTTATTAAATTAAATTTTTAGGTATTCTAATTTTAAAAAATATAATATAAAATATTAAATAAAAATTAAGAATATTTTATGACCATAATTTTAAAACTAAAATATTTTATTTTTTAAATAATAAATTACTCTTTATTAAAAGCTAGTAACATACGAATTTCAATTCAAAATTTTTTTATTCGAAATATAAGTTTTGGAATAAAAAAGTCTTTGAAATTTACTAGGATTCTAAAAAATATCTGTTAATAAAAGAAAATAAATCTATACTTATAATATATATATATATATATATATATATATATATATATATATATGTTTGATTTTTGATCTTAGATTGTTGTTAAAAAATATTGTGATGTATGTTTAATGAAAACATTACTAATATTCTTTTAACCAAAATAAAACTGATTGATTTATCTAGAAATTTTAAATACTATTACATATATATTTTTTCTTTAAATATAATGTGCTCTTTCATTATTTTTATTTTAATATCAGTAGATCTATTTTATACAATAACTCATTAGATAGCAGAAAAAATCAGAATAATAATATGCTTCAAACGAAATATTAATTATCTTAAATAAAAAATAAATTCTTTTTTTTATTTGCTAAATTTTTAAGGCTAAAATTTTAATATGAAATTACGAAATTTATGTGTGATAAATATAAAACCATAGTTATTAGTTTTATCCAATATATGTTTATTATTTTATATATATATAATAACAAAAATTCATATTGTTTGTTAAAATACTTTAACAAACATTAATGTAAGATAATATAATTTTAGTTTCTTTTTAATTTCTTTTCATGTATTAGACATGACATCAACTATATATATTTATATCTTTGTGAGTGTCACAAGTCTTTTCCTTTTATTATTTTGAAGGTAATATTCATATTTTGTAAACTTTGGAATATATGATACATTATAACCTAAAACTTTACTTATAGATACATATAGATATTTCTAAATTAGCTGTATTTTATTCGTAATTATTATAAAGAAATAAATCTTATAAACATTTTTGAAGTTTCCATCATTGATTCTAATTTTAGTATTAGTTATGTATTCATATCTTAGTAAAACATTTATAAATATGATTAAAGTATATATATTTAAAAAATATAATCCTTAATTTCTAACGAATAAATACATCATCACCTAATAACCAAAGTTGTTGACATATTTCAGTTCTTTGTTGTCTTAAACAGTTTACAAATTGAACATCAGAGTCATCCAAAGAAAAAATTACTCCTCAACAATTTACATATAGTTCCAAATTTTATGGTTGGTATGATTTATAGATAGATTAAAATATCAGTCAAAGAATAAATCTTGAGAGAAAAAAATTCACGTAAACAACTAACTTATATGCCTGTCTCCATGTGTATATATATACACATGGACAAATAGACATATAAGCTAATTTCCTCATAATGAAACAATATTATTATATGCAGCATTTGTTAAAGTATAACCTATAATACAAGTAAAAATTAAACAATAATAAATACAAATTACACCTGTGTAGAATAATTAAGTTTTCCTTGTAAAATTAAGTATAAAACTATTCAGAATAAGGCATTTAGACAAAAAAACACAACAAAACAAAAACAAACAAGATTATCATGTGTTTTCTCAAGCTATATATCTGTAGCAAAGTACAGGATTTGATTGCTTTAAATCTGAATTACTTCATATTTCCTCACATATTGTACATCTTAATTCTGAAAAGTTGGAATCAACTTTAAGTGAAGTAGGTTGAAAAATAAAACTAATCTTTATAACAAAACAAAACAGCTGTCAACCCAGCAACAAAAAACAAAACAAAACAGCTGTCAACCCAGCAACAAAAAACAAAACAAAACAGCTGTCAACCCAGCAACAAAAAAACAAAACAAAACGTGACAGAAACCAGCAAAAACAAACGACACTTTGAACTAAAATTTTACTATTCACAGTATAAATTTGAATTCGAACCATCTCTATTCATTTACATCCACAAAAACCTAGACTGAAACATCACAAAAGAATCGTCATCACGAAAAAAATAAAATATATATAAATAGAAAAATAAAATAAAAATTAAGTACTACAAACTGACATGAGGATCCGGTTTTGTCATGCCTCATTTCTGTTTATAAAATGATAAACCATCTGATGAAGAGAGTTGCAGTCATTCCATGCAATGTCAGCTGCAGTTCATTGCTTTGCAACAACAATGACTCCACAACTTGCTGTCCTGACAGGAATTGGCCATTCGTAACCAAGTTTTTCTCACCTGCTGATCAAGACATTCACAAAATGTGTAAATCACCACAAGCATGACAGGATCCTGCTTTCGAAGTGCAACTCACTTGTGAGCTTTCTCACAATGAGCAAGGAATGAATGCATTGTGAGCTTCATGGGCCTAGACAGTCCCCACAAATTAGTCACCTGGAAAACAAGTTACGGTGGAGAAAAATCCTGTGTTTGAATCAATAGTTTGCAAAGTTTGCCACAAATCGACGTATGTAAGATGCAATTGCTATTAGAGCTGGCCCAAGCATGCTTCACAACTCAGCTCGGGTAGTGACATTGTCAGTATTCCTCATGACGTTTAGCAACTACTGCCAAACGTGGCAATCTACATGTTGATGTGAAAAATTTCGGTGGCGGTCCCAGACATGCCTACAGGCCTGGGTTTCAATCTTCACGGTGTTGCTTCGATTAAATGCTTGAGTTGCACCTCCTGCTTTAGAAAAAAACATGAGCAAAAAAAGGAAAAAAAGAAAATCTATAATGCAGCACGATCGATCGCCTAAGCACGTTGTTTTTAGGGCTCGCATTCGTGGCTTGCCTGCAACTTGATGCTGCTGGCTAACCTACTTATCCGAGAGTTGGAGCTTTGAATCGGCATTTAATACAACTTGACTTGTGATCAGCCCAGATTTTCTTCATGTCGTAATCAGGGAACTGGGTTCCCGTTTATCAAACGCGATGATCAAAGATTGGCATGGGAAAGAATGTACAAGGAAAGAATGCACCAGGAAAAGACTTACACATGACACGACAAGCATGTCGCGAACTGACTAGAAATAAATCAAAACTAGTGTCATTTTGAAGGTCCCGGAATATACTATTAGCGCAATCTCAAGAGTCGTGATTCTCCCGGTGCCAGGGATGAGCTGACTGACCGATACAGACGATGCCACTGGGCAGTTCCCGAGCACTGATCCTGTTGCTCATGTGACGTTTCTCCGTCAATCCCATTGGCCAAAGTGCTGTGGTATGAGTCATCGGAAGAATCGGGTCCGTAGGATGGATCCTAAACTCCCTCCATTATGTGAATCCGGATCTACAGTACTCTCTTCTTAACTGTTACCTCAACGAAACAGTACACCTGTGAATTTGCGGTGATGATGTGCTCATGGACAAAGAAAAAAATAAAAAATAAAAAAAAATGAGAAAAAAAAATTTCCCTTCGTTTTCTTTTTGTAATTCTGTTGTAAAGGAATCGATCAACTCCATCTGAATCTTTCTGACAGTGTGGATGTAACTACTGGGGTTTAGGAAGAATTAAGTGAAGTTTGTGAACACTAGGCATGTTGATCAAATCAAGAAATCTGTGTTGACTGAGAAAATTGGGTGGATATCCGGGTATTTTTTTTTAAGGAATTACATGCAGATATGGGTACATCTCAGAATCACCGAAGAAGCAATAGAAAACTAGAATCAGTCTTCAAAGTGTAGCAGAATTGCTCATTTCTTATCTCATTGGAAGATGGTGCACCGGAATTGTTGGTGAAGAAAAACCGACATGCCAGACTTCGTGAAGGGTAACTCTGCGATGTGATTCTAGTTTCCTTCAATCGAAAACACAGCAGATTTCCCACTGAAAATATCGGGTAAAAAGCTTAGAAAATCGGGCCTACAAAACGGAGAAGCCATAGAAACAGCAAAAGGCGCTAGTCAACAGCCTCGGCGCGCTTGACTCCGAAGCACTCAGATCAAGGCCGGGTTGACAAATCTGTCCTAATGGATCAGGCTAAACAAGGAGGTTAGAGACACGCAGTCGGATCTGCGTTGAACAATCGCTGAAAGCGGCCACTTGAGCAGCTCTCCCAACTGACAGATGTCGGAGAGTCTGCTTTCCTTCTATCCTTCCCGGGCGGAAGCATCGGACGACTTCGCAAGTAATAGGTGAAGTCCAACCTTGATCTTCCAGTCGCGTACGACGTGACCAATTTGGGATGAATGATGCCGACGTCGGAATCGGTGGGCTGGATGAAGAAGGGCCACGCAAAGCTCATATGGACCCAGAGACACTGGATGTGGGGTGTGTTGTTTTAGGGAGAGAGGAAGGCCAAGAGTAAGCCTCAGGTGGCCGCAAGGGTTGGGTTGGAGGACTTGCAGCAGTAGCACGAGGCATCCTGGGTCTCTGAGGTTCGTATACTTGCGACCTTTGCGCTATAATTTTCGCATTGCTATTGGGGCCGTAGCTTCAGAAGCGTTTGTGGGACGGATGTGTGTTTCGTGTTCCATGCATTGGGGTTGTTCTCCTGTCATTTGCGAACGTCTTCGTTTATTCAGATCAGGTTTTTGAGGTGATGCTGCTACACATGTGTTCGTATGGTGACTTTCGTCCTTGATAAGGGGTTACGCATGTGACACGGAGTGCGATTGGTTGTTGCTTGCTTCAGCTGCCTTAGGTGTATCTCTTGCCAGTTCAACAGCACTTGCATTCTTTACATCTATTTGATTAGCATCAAATCTTTGATTGCAGATCCCTTTCCTCTTTCGTTTTTTTCACTTTTTCTTTTAGCTACTTTACATAATTATGTGTAGGTTAGCCTTCATCGTTGGAAACAGAGTCGGATGCGTGCTTGTGAGCATTATCGCTGGGTCTTTCTAGCTGGATTCTCATTACTTGGTTGGATCGTGTCTTTGATGCAACCTTTCTCTACAGTTATTTTAATCTGTACTCTTCGTGATTCGCTACAAATTGAGAAGATTTTTTTGATTTTTTGATTTTTTGATTTTTTGAATTGTGATTTTCACTATCTGAGAACTGTGTAACGTCCGTGAATGAGTCCAACACAGTATCCCTGTGTTTGTTTAGGTAGCATTTGCCATTACACATATCTGAGCTTGATCAAGTATTTGGTGCATTTCACAGTGACGTGTTTGAGTTTCCTGATAAGTTGCTATAAGCTCTGCCTCGATAGCCTGTACTGAGCTTCTTGGAAGTTGAGTGACCGCAGTTTCGTAGCAATACAAGGTAGCTGTGATCCTTAGTAGCAAGATGGAGGTGACGGATCTCTAATTCTAAGCTAGGAGTATGGTTTAGCAAGCGGGGACGGAAGGGGCGTTGTCTTCATTGTTTACACTCAGAATTTGTGGTGGAGGTCTTGTAATTGGATAATTCTGTCTCTTGGCGCGTCATTTGCATGCACATTGACCGGCTCTGAAGTTTGATGCTTGTCTTCTCGCATATCTTGTCATATTCTGTTTTATCGACACCGTGAATGTTGATCAAGCCATGTTCCTCAATCGTTCTCAGTTTCGTACGTCAATCACAAAAATGCTAATGATGTGGAAGGACGGGGATGGGTCTGCGTGCAGATTCAGTATTGACATTCATTGCAGTGGATCTTGAGGTGTTGTCGTATCCGCAAGGGTGGAATCTACAATGGAGCGATTTCTGGCGGTGGGGCTTCTAGCACTGTTCTGTGTCACTTCGCCCGCCTATGCGGAGGACATTGACGAAAAAGATGTTATTGTTCTCGGCGCTAGCAACTTTACGGAGCTGATCAGTAGTCACAAGTACGTCCTGGTTGAGTTTTATGCCCCCTGGTGTGGCCACTGCCAGACACTGGCGCCCGAGTACGCCAAGGCAGCCACCCTTCTCAAAGATGAAGGTGTGGTTCTCGCTAAGGTTGATGCCACCGAGCACAACGATCTAAGCCAGAAGTTTGAAGTCCGAGGCTTCCCCACTCTGTTATTCTTCGTTGACGGAGTGCACAGGCCCTACACTGGCGGTCGGAAGGTTGACGAGATCGTCGGCTGGGTGAAGAAGAAATGCGGACCTTCTTTTCAGACTCTTAAGTCCACTGCTGATGCCGAGAAGGCGTTGGAATTCGAGACTCCAATTGCGGTCGCATTCGTGGATAGCCTCGAAGATAAGAACGCTAAGGCACTCATTGCAACATCTGCTAAGGAGGAAGGCGCCACGTTCTACATGACTGACGACAAGGAAGTGGCTGCAAAGTTTGGCCTAGAGAAAACACCGTCGCTTGTCTTGTTGAAGAAGCAGGCAGAGACGGTTGTCCATTTTGAGGGTGAATTCGAGGAGGCGGCCCTTACCAGCTTCGTTGTGAAAAACAAGCTTCCTCTTGTCATCACATTTAGCCGTGAGACAGCATCCTCAATCTTCGAATCCGACATCAACAAGCAACTGATTCTGTTTGCAGGTACTGAAGGGTATGTTAAGGTCCGCGATGTTTACGAAGAAACTGCGAAATCTTTCAAGGGCCAGATCATCTTCGTTCTTGTTGACCTTGCCAACGAAGAGGTGGCTGCCCCTGTCCTTGATTTTTTCTCCCTCAGTGGCCCCAAAACAAAGCTCATGGGATTCATTCCCGAAGAAAATGGGTTAAAGTTCGAGTACGACGGAGACTTCGACCAGAAGTCGCTCAAGGACTTCGCAGAGAAGTTTGTGGCGAACAAGCTCACCCCATACTTTAAGTCTGAAGACGTACCGGAGAAGAACAACGAGCCTGTGAAGGTTGTCGTTGGCAAATCGTTCGAGGACATTGTTCTGGACGACTCGAAGGACGTTCTCCTCGAAGTCTACGCTCCCTGGTGCGGTCACTGCAAGTCTTTGGAGCCTGAGTACAATAAATTGGGAGAGCTCTTGAAGGACGTGAAGTCTGTAGTGATCGCCAAGATGGACGGCACTAAGAATGAGCACAGTCGCATTAAGATTGAGGGCTACCCAACCGTTGTTTTGTTCCCCGCTGGAAAGAAGAGCGAGGAGCCAATCTCAGCAGGAGCATACAGGACAGCAGCTGGATTGGGCAAGTTTTTGATGGAGAACGCAGGTATCCCCTTCAAAGCCGATCTTCCGGAGTACGTTGAGCCCAAGCATGGTCACGAGGCGGGAGGTAAAGAATCCGGTGAATATGACCATAATGAAGAGCTTGATCACTCGGACCAAACACTAGAGGAAGCTGCCGACACGGAAGAAACCAAAGACGAGCTTTGAAAGATCTTGTTAGTGATTTTAGGTTAGGACTTCCATACTACACACGTTTGCGGCGTCAAATCCATGCCTTTCGCGTGGAAACATTTGTAATACGGGCCCCAAATGTAGCACGGAAAACTTTACATATGTATGTACAAACACACACCTTGCATTTTTTTTTTTAAATTTTTTCTTTGTTGGTGATAGCTTTCAGGAAAAATAAACAACCATCCAAAATGCCCGGATATAAGCGTGAACATCACTTTGTCGTGGATTATTCCGGTCGAGTACGTGTGAGCGAAGATTCACAACCCACACGACACCCCAGTTCCGCGCAATGAAGTGGTGAGAAATCGTTGCAGTCCCATCGTGTCTCTGTACAAGTTGGGAGCTTGCGTCTTGCCTAACGGCTGCAATTACCCACAAGTCCCATCCTTGCAAACCTGCTACTGAAGCTTGTGAATACACTGAAACGTGTGTAAAGAGTATGACCCCTTTACACACAACCACGCAACGAATCATTGTCGTGCTTGGATCAGGATCTACTGCTTGAGTGCACTCAACCGGGAGCGACCGTAGATCGATGGCGGCACCAGCCGCCGTGATTAGGGTTTGGTTTTTAATTTTTCATACCACTTTGTGTGGTTTGCAGCTCAATCACCTGTTGGCATTGTAAATCTTTAGCATGTGGAGAAGTCACCCAGAAGAAATTCATTTTATGTGCTTTAGACTTAGTTTTGTTGATATTAAGGTTGGATTGGTGTTCTTAAATCAAGATACTTTTTCTTGTTACAAAATGGCTATTCAAACGTATGCATATTTGGTATGAGGTGTATCAAGACATCAAAGATTTATAATATAAATTGGTTTTTTGGAAAGTGAAGATTATGTAGATCATGAAGATGACAATTGTAAGCCTAAAAGTTTGAAAGATGTAATTCCATAATTAAAGGTATAGAACAAATATCTCAATGATATTAATTCTTTCAACAAAGTATTAGAAAGATATTCCTTCCAAATTGCTCTTCTAATTTTGGAAGTTGGTTACTCTAAAACTCAAATTATTTGAATAAAATTGATGTAGATATTGTCATGCAAGAAGTAGGATGCCTTCATAAATTTGTACTAATAATAAGGTTTGTAGAGAATCAATTTTTAAGTTCTATTTTTGATTAATTTTATACAATAAAAATATTAATTATATTTTTATTTTGGATATATTATTGGATTAAGGCTATTTTCTATTAAAATAATATTAGATTAAAATATCCATTAAAATATTATATGACCATGAATTGACTCACTTATGGTGCTTATAGTCACTAATCTAGTGAATTAATGAAGGAGTTTTGAGATAAATAGCAAAAAATACAATGTTAGGATAAGAATGGATCTTCCATAGAGTTTTTTTTGAAAAGGAATTTTAAAATAAATATTTTCTTCTTAAATTAGCTAATATAGATTTATAATTTTTTTATAATAGGTTTTTTATATCAAATCTAGTGTGGCTAACTTTAGATAAGGACTTTTTAAGAGCAATACTCTGCATTCTTTGCCTCATTGAGTTGTCCCAAATAGTCGCCATATATAAGTCACCAAATTGACTCACTTGTGTATTTAGTACAAAAAATACACTTATTGTGTTTAAAACCACAAGTTTTGTGAGTTAGTAGTAGAATTCTTAGAAAAATAGAAAATAGATTGCTAATAGTAGACATGCAATCTAAGGTAGATTGTGAGTTTAGTAAGATAAATTTCCACAATGAAAATAGCTTTTTTTATTAAATATATATATATATATATATATATATATATATATAGAAAAAAGTTATAAAAAAAATTAAAGGAATAGAAAATATATATATATATATAGTAGAAGAAAGGGAAATCAAAATAAGAGAAGAAGACAACAAGAAAAAGACAAAAAGAAGAAAAAAAGAAAAAGAAAAAGAAAGATGAAAAGAAGATGAGAAGAGAGGATGAAAGAGAGTGAGAATCTATCTTTGAACCTCAGTAGATCTTTTGAACCCCGATAGTTCCTTTGTTGGTAGGAGTCTAGGCTACCTCTTGGATATTCCTTCCTTTTTTCATCATTTTTTTGCTAGTGGTGCGTTTTGGGGCTCCAATCCTCGTAGAATATTTTTTGTTTTCTGTGGTTTTTTATATGTGTATGTGCTTCCATATTCCCATCAACTAAATATATCATTTTTATTTTATTTTATTTTATTTTGTCTCTTGCACCACAGAGCCCTTGAAGTGCCCTCAAGCAACATTTCATTTCTTTTCAAGCTATGTGTGCGGCGATGTGGTAGTTGAGATTTGATCAAAGATTGCAAGAAAAAAAATACTTCATGTTGTTTTTCTTACATGTATATTATTACTAGGTAGTATTATTTGATTGTGGCGGTCAAAAACCTAAGCAATGTTTGATTGGAGGTTCTTGCTTCTCCCATTAGATTCTTACAAGGTGGCATGGAATAAGATTATATGATGACCTTGTCTAGTAGTGGAGATTTTGCATGCATAGAGCTATGTTATGTTGTTTTAGCAAAGAAGTAGATAGTTGGAGTTTGGTGGTTTCTCTTGAAGCGGCAAGTTGTACTCATCAAGTGGTAGTGTAAACCTCCATGGTGGAGAGTGCAATGTGCAATAATTTGCACTTTGCTAGACATTGAAATGGCAGCGTTATTCTCTTTAGTTCTTAGTTCCCATAGTGGTAGTGCCATTGTGGTTGTTTTATGTTTTTTTTTTTTTTTTTTTGTTCTCCTTCTAGCTATTGTTGCCATGTGGATACTTGCACATATCTTTGTTTAGTGTATAGAGAGAGATCTTAGTATGATGAACATAGCTTATTTAATAATGCTCATCATTCTTTATCTTTGATGGTGGAGTGGTGAATGCATAGTGATTGACAACATTCCTATTCTTGTCAACAAGGAAATTTGTAAAATTCTACTAGATGTTGTCTCCCAAAATGTTGTCCCCTTTTTAAGACTTTAAGAACTTGTAAATGGACACTTCCTAAAGATCATTAACATCTACCTTGTCAAAAATAGGAAACTCGGATTTGAACTTGGTGCTAGTAAATTGCTTCATTTGTGCATTTGAACCAAACTCTTGATCTCCAAATTAATTGTAAAGAAGATAAAATCTCAAGATCTTAATTTTTGGATTGTATTGGGTTCATTGGCAGTGGAAGTGCAAAGTCTAGTCACTTGGGTAGCAAAGTTGGATCCAAGTTTGATTTGCAGTAGGACACCGATCCTCTTGACTTGGTGAGATTTCTAGCAAACTTGGTCATATTAGGCTAATTAAGTAGATTTAGATGTAGTTAGAATTTAAATAAATTAATATTTCAACAATTTAGGATTTAGACAAGTTAATTTAGATGGAATTTTAGTGAAGGATAAAGTTCTAAATATAGAAGAAGTATGTGGATGAAATATTATTTAAGGATGAAAATTTACCAATGGATGAATTTTAATTAATTAGAAATTACAATAAGATAAAAATTTAAAAAATAAAAATAAAAATCATCTTATTAGGTTTTTTTTAAATTTATTTATTGCATGGATTTTTTTGAATGACTCATTATTGTAAGTGTGAATTGGTAATAGAGACTTTACTTGTCTACTTTGATGATTTATAGAGTTTTAAGTGTAAATTAACTTTAATTGAACAAGAGCTAAAGTTTCTAGAATTTATATAGTTATTTCACTTATTGTGAACTTTCCAATTAGTGGAGATTTACTTTATCTCACAGGAACCAAAGAAAAAATTAAACACAAAAAAGAAAAGATCAGGAGTCTTTACCGGCCGGATGGATGTCTGCTGGATATCGCGGAAGAGGCCGCTGGGATCCGAGGTAGTTCTAGATCCCTACTGCATTCTTCCTTCTTCATTTCTATTTTCCGTTTTTTGTTGCTATGAGGAGCTCTGCACTGCGGTGGATCTGCAGTTGCCGACATGAGCTTATTCATGTTCATTGTGGGTGTATGGAATGTGGAGATATTGCGCGATTTAAGAATATTCACATCAAAAGGAGGCAACGCGGCAGCGGACTACTGCAGTAGTGATCTTCGAACTCGCTAGTATTTGTGAAGAACAACCATGCGATCCAGCTCCGAAGTCATGACTACAAGGCTCAGCTAGCTTAGAGTTATTGACCACACCAATTGTAGTCGCAAATAACACTCGGGAACTCGTATACATCCTTGAATTTTTAATTGCCTTCAATGCTACGAACCGTGTCGCAGAGCGAGTCCGGTGATTCTGCCTAGTTTGACTTTTTTGTCTGAGAAAGGATTGCATTGGATATTGTTGGGTGGAGAGAGAGCTAGCACTGTGTTTGGGAAGTTGAGTATACGATTATGGGGATCCATTGATGGACATGGTTTTTAGGGTGCAGTAAATTACAGTAAATCGATAGCAGAATTTAGTTTTTTTTCTATTGTTCTCCTATTGTTGTTGCGTTTTACAATTTTGGAAGAGATTTGAGCTTGATATAGCTGAAGAGTTGACGTTCAAGAGATTGGAGGAACAAATCCAGTTCTGGATGCGTTGAAGTTCTAGAGAGAGTAACGACAGCAAGCGTGGGAGTACCTCAGTGACGAGGAGGATCTTCTTTCCGGAGATTTGATAGAATTGATGAGTATTTGGTGATTCATCACCCATTCTAAACAATACAATCCATGGTCTGAAGCAAGGAGACCAATTAGAAGCACAAGAAGGAATATTATTTTAGAACCAAGACTCTAGCAGCTCTAGTGCACATACCAAGGTAGCAGAGCATCGGCGATAGAGGCTAAATTGGATTGCTGTTGGAGGGCACTGCTAGCTTAAAGTGGGCGGCAAAAGGAACCTCAAGCCGCCTCCGACTAGTGCAATCCGTAGGTGGACGAAGGTGTATGAACTTTGACTTCTACATTACATGGACCTAGTTTAAATTTGGATGAATTAGGTTAGAATAAATTTAGGTTAAAATGGGATGAAATGTTATTGGATGAAAATTAATGAAGTAGATGAGAATTAAGCAAAGCATGAAGTATTTAAATATGAACGAATTTTAAGTATGGATGAAATTTTAAAGTAGATGAGAAGTTATTTGAAGATGATAACTTATACTTGGATGAATTTTTATAAATAGATGAATTTTAATAGA